TTTTTTTTTTTTTTTTTTTTTTTTTTTTTTGGAGATTCTTGAATATATTACTTTGTTTCTTATTCCTTGTGATAAGCAAGGGCCACAAACATGCTCATTCTTTTTTGTTTTAAATGCTACACTTTCAAACCCTCATGCACACCCAAGTACTAAACTTCATTTTATTTGTCCAACGAGTTTGGAGGCATTTTAGTTCTACTTTCTACATCTATTTAATTTAGAAAAAAAAAAAAAAATGCATTTTTTGTGGATAACTTAAGCTTTTTTTATTTTTGTTTTGGTTATATATTGCATGCCCCGTTTGATTATAAGTCAATGGCAATTCAAATCCTTAAAGATTAAAAAAGATCATATAAAATTGTTCATTTAATTTGTAGGAAATTTCTTCAAATATTAAATTCGGATTAGTAGTAAATGTCATATTTATTGATTTTCAAAATTTTTTAATATTACATAAAATTGTTGTTTTAAATATTTTACTGAAAATCATACCGGACAAATCATCTTTATAATCGTTCAACCGGTTTTATCACTCATTTTATTGATTTTATAAAAATATTAATGAAATTACTACACTAATATAAATAATAAATAAAAGCCAACTTCACTTAATGCTAATATTAGTCTAAAATTAAATAATGATATAAACAAATTAAAATTAACTGTAGAACTTTAATTTATGTAAATAATATGAAACCAATTCTAAATTAAAATTAATTAGAAATTTAAAATTTTGAAGTAATTTTATAACATAATATAAAATATTAAAAAAATAAAAGAATTATATAAATAAATTAATACAAAAAAGTATAAAATACTAAAAAAATACAGTATTATTCAATACAACTAGTATTTTTGTGTGAAACTAGTATAATTAAATATTTTGACAAACATTATTTAAAAGGTAATAGTATAAATTGGAACACAATATTATTGGTAGTAACATATTTAAAATTTTAAACTATAGAAGATGCTATAGTCCTTTACGAAATTATTCCGTCAGGATTTGTGGACGTTAGATCTACTATTCCGACAATTACATAATAATCTAATGGTTATGAACCTGATGAAATGGTTAGGGACCATGACCATTTTCCCTAAATATAACCATATATTCGGAATCATTTATTTAATTAAAAAAAGAAAAAATTATGTGGCAAAAAATAAAAGAAAAAAATTATTAGGGACCATGACCATTTTCGTTTTTTTTTTTTTTTTTTTTTTTTTTTTTTTTTTTTTTTTTTTTTTTTTTTTTTTTTTTTTTTTTGTAACGGATTTTTTATTTTTTTTTATTTTTTAGATCGGATTGTGAAATTCGGGCTCGTTAGGGTTTGTCTGAACTCAGAATTGAGTTCCGTTTTTTTCTACATGTCGCCAACGAAGTCTTCTACGTATTTATGCTTTCGAATCTAATTTATTCTTGAAAACCTATTCTCTCAAAGCTCTTGACCTGAAGTTGGCAGCTTCCGTGCACGACTTCGCATATCGGGCCCGTTCGGACTCGTCCGAACTCGAAATTGAGTTTCGATTCTTCCTACATGTCGCCAATGAATCCTACTACTAGAGCATACTTTCTTGACCAATTTTCGGGCTGAAACTATTCCTTGCGGGGTTTTCTTCTAAAAATGGGGAAAAAGAATAAAAGAACAAAAAAAACTAGCAAAATTCGGGCTCGTTTGGGCTCGTCCGAACTCGAAATTGAATTCCGTTTTTTCTTACATGTCGCCAACGAAGCCTTCTATATAATTATGCTTTCAAATCTAACCTATTCATGAAAACCTATTATCCCAAAGCTCTTGACCTGAAGTTGGCGGCTTTCTTGCACGACTTCGCATATCGGGACCGTTAGGACTCGTCCGAACTCGAAATTGAGTATCGATTCTTCCTACATGTCGCCAATGAATCCTACTACTAAAGCATGCTTTTCTGACCAATTTTTGGGCTGGAACTATTTCTTACGGGGTTTCCGGCCTAAAACGAGGGAAAATAATGAAAAATGAAGAAGACTAGCAAAATTCATGCTCGTCTGGGCTCGTCCGAACTCAAAATTGAATTCCGTTTTTTACTACATGTCGCCAACGAAGCCTTCTATGTAATTATGCTTTCAAATCCAACCTATCCTTGAAAACCTATTATCTCAAAGCTCTTGACCTGAAGTTGGCGGCTTCTTTGCACGACTTCGCATATCGGGACCTTTCGGACTTGTCCGAACTCGAAATTGAGTTTCGATTCTTCCTACATGTCGCCAACGAATCCCACTACTTGAGCATGCTTTTATGGAAATTTTTTGGGCTGAAAATATTTCTTGCGGTGCTTCCGACCTAAAACGGTGGAAAACAAGAAGAAGAAAGAAAAAAAAAAACTAGCAAAAATGTACTAATTTGAATTCAATTGGACTAATTCGAGTTCGATTACACCATAATTGACCGAGATTGTAATAATTTGAGTTCCATTGGACTAATTCGAGTTCGATTACACCATTACCCGAGATTGTACTAATTGACTTTATATTGGACTAATTCGAGTTCGACTACACCATAATTGACTTCGGTTGTACTAATTTGACTTTGATTATAGTAAATTGACTTCGATTGTACTAATTTGACTTCGATTGGACTAATTCGATTTCGATTATAGAAATTTAACTTCTATTGGACTAATTCAACTTCGATTTTAGTATAATTGACTTCGATTGTACTAATTTGACTTCGATTATAGTAATTTGACTTCGATTGTACTAATTTGACTTCGATTGTACTAATTCGACTTCGAGTGTACTAATTCGACTTCTATTGGACTAGAATGACTTCGATTGTACTAATTTGACTTCGATTGGACTACTTTGACTTCGATTGTACTAATTTGATTTCGATTGGACTAATTTGAGTTTGATTGGACTAATTTGATTTTTATTATAGTAATTTGACATTGGTTATAGTAATTTGACTTTGATTGGACTAATTCTAGTTCGATTACACTATAATTAATTGTGATTGGACTAATTCGAGTTCGATTATACTAATTTGACTTCGATTGGACTAATTCGAGTTCGATTGGACTAATTTGACTTCGATCGGACTAATTTGATTTCGATTGTACTAAATTGACTTCGATTGTACTAAATTGACTTCGATTGGACTAATTTGACTTTGATTGGACTAATTCGATTTTGATTATAGTAATTTACTTCGATTGGACTAATTCCACTTCGATTTTCGTATAATTGACTTCGATTGTACTAATTTGACTTCGATTATAGTAATTTGACTTCGATTGTACTAATTTTACTTCGATTGGACTAATTTGACTTCGATTATACTAATTTGACTTTGGTTGTACTAATTCGACTTCGATTGGACTAAAATGACTTCGATTGTACTAATTTGACTTCGATTGTACTAATTTGACTTCGATTGTACTAAAGTAGTAGGATTCGTTAACGTAACAAGCCCCGCAATAGATATTTTCAGCCCAAAATTTTGCCGTAAAAGCATGCTAAAGTAGTAGGATTCGTTGACGACATGTAGGAAGAATCGAAACTCAATTTCGAGTTTGGACAAGTCGTGCAAGAAAGCCGCAAACTTCTGGTAAAGAGCTTTGAGATAATAGGTTTTCAATAATAGGTTGAATTTTAAAGCATAATTATATAGAAGGCTTTGTTGGCGACATGTAGGAAAAAAACAGAATTCAATTTCGAGTTCGGACGAGCCGAAACGAGCCTGAATTTTGCTAGTCTTCTTCGTTTTTTTATTCTCCGCAAGGAATAGTTCCAGCCCAAAAATTGGTCAGAAAAGCATTCTCTAGTAGTAGGATTCGTTGGCGACATTTAGAAGAATCGAAACTCAATTTCGAGTTCGAACGAGTCCTCACGGTCCCGATATGCGAAGTCGTGCAAGAAAGCCGCCAACTTCAGGTCAAGAGCTTTGAGATAATAGGTTTAAAAGAATAAGTTAGATTTGAAAGCATAATTACATAGAAGGATTCGTTGGCGACATATAGGAAAAAATGGAACTCAAATTCGAGTTCGGACGAGCCCAAACGAGCCTGAATTTTGTTAGTCTTTTTCTTTATTTAGTCTTTTCCCCCGTTTTAGGCCGGAAGCCCCGCAAGGAATAGTTCCAGCCATAAAATTGGTCAGAAAAGCATTCTCTAGTAGTATGAGTCGTCGGCGACATGCAAGAAGAATTGAAACTCAATTTCGAGTTCGAACGAGTCCTAACGGTCCCGATATGCGAAGTCGTGCAAGAAAGCCGCCAACTTCAGGTCAAGAGCTTTGGGATAATAGGTTTTCATGAATAGGTTGGATATGAAAGCATAATTATACGAAAGGCTTTGTTTGCGACATGTACGAAAAAAAAACGGATTCAATTCGAGTTCGGACGAGCCCAAACGAGCCCGAATTTTGCTAGTTTTCTTCGTTTTATTTATTCTTTTTCCCCATTTTTGGCCGGCAGCCCCGCAAGGAATAGTTCCAGCCCAAAAATTGGTCATAGAAGTATGCTCTAGTAGTAGGATTCGTTGGCGATATGTACGAAGAATCAAAACTCAATTTCGAGTTCGGACGAGTCCGAACGGACTCGATATGCGAAGTCGTGCACGGAAGCTGCCATCTTCAGGTCAAGAGCTTTAGGAGAATAGGTTTTCATGAATAAATTAGATTCGAAAGCATAAATACGTAGAAGGCTTCGTTGGCGACATGTAGGAAAAACAGAACTCAATTTCGAGTTCGGACGAGCCCTAATGAGCCCAAATTTCACAATTCGATCTAAAAATAAAAAATAAAAAATTAAAAAACGGTTTTGAAAATCCGTTTTTTTTTTAAAAAGAAAAAAAAAAAAACAAAAACGGATTTGAATCCGTTTTTTATCCGTTTGATTCTTGTCCACAATAATTTTTTTTCTTTTATTTTTCGGCACAATTTTTTATTTTTTTTTAATTAAATAAGTTACCCCATATATTCGCCTGAATATTCTTTTCTACCCCTTTACTCTGTGGGCATAAAAAATTTCTAAAATGGAGGAGAAAATAAGAGAGAAAAATACAAAGACAACGAATTTACCGCCACGTGTCACTAGATGCTTCCCGTTTTCTTACTTCCACCCCATAATTTCGTAAATTTCTCCGATTTCCCCAAACTCCCCATTTTTTAAGGCCATCTCATTCGTCTCCTTTCCCTGTACGTGCTATTTCTCTTCCTCTTCTTCAACAGGCTTCAGATCTTCAATTTTGAAGTTTGAAATCGATCTCAGTCCCTAGACATGGCTGCCGCTGCTGTATCTCTGAGCTCCGCCGATGCTGAGAAGCTCGCCGCGCTCAAATCCGACGTCGCCACCCTCAATCAGATCAGGTTCTCGACTTTTTTCCATCTTATTCCAAATTTGGTTAATTAGAAGCATTTTTGTTGTTCGTAGTTTCGGATCTGAAGTCTGCATCTCTCGTGGCGTTTATTGATCTTTTGATGATCTTCTTTTTTCAGTGAGAATGAGAAATCTGGATTCATCAATCTGGTAGCTCGCTATCTCAGGTACAGAGATAAGCATTTCATGCACTCGTTATGATATTCCTTTGCATTTCTCAGAGTGATGTTTACTAGAATGAGGAATTTATATTCGCGATATATCTTATGCCGATGCTCGATTCTAAGTGCATGTAGAAAGTGTGGATTGCGAGTGGTGTGTGATTGGATCTTGTCAATGAGTACCTATGAATTGTAGCCTTAGAATCGATATTAGAAATATTTATTTTCATTTGATTGCAGATCTTCTGTGTTGATCTAAGTTTACTGTTATCATATATGTTTGGTGCTAAACCTGATACATAGTTGATCTTTGTTTTGTGGTTGGACCTGAAGTGGAGAAGCTCAGCATGTAGAATGGAGTAAGATCCAGACACCAACTGATGAGGTTGTGGTGCCTTATGATACCCTGGCCCCTGTACCTGAAGGTGGCATCTCTGATCTTGCATTTTGTTGTTTTGGCTTCATTATGAATTAATCAACAATTTGAGTGTTGAAAAATCACTGTTTGGTTTGAGTTTCATATTAAGATACTGTGCTGTGTTTTTGGCGTTAATTATATTAATTTTAATGCAGATGCTGCTGAGACCAAAAAGCTTCTGGACAAACTTGTTGTGTTAAAGCTCAATGGAGGCTTGGGAACTACAATGGGCTGTACTGGACCAAAGTATGTGTTTTCATTTACTTACCTCTTAATTTTGATTAATTTGATGGTTTTGCTTCGTTTTAACCAATAAATTGTTGCTTAAGTCTTGTATCTATATGTCATTCAGAAGTGTACACTGGCTGTTAATACAAACAATATTTATAAGAGGGTGTTGATGACTTTAGCATTGATTACCAGCAGTGATTACCAAAGTTGTAATGCAATTGACAACTGACAAAGTAACACATAAAATATTGTCAATTGATTAATACTTGAATATGCCATATTTTCAGGAGTATTTTTCTTTTTTTTTTTTATTTTAATATGGCGCACTTTTTTAAGTGAAAAATGTTTCTCTTTCTTCCAAAATTTCATTTCATTTCTCGGTGTATTTATTAGTGGTATTCTGTGTAGCAGTATTATCTGTTGAGCTCCTAAACTGAATTAATGTCAACCTTTATGGTAATGCTTATTTACCTGACCCAACTTGTTTTAAGCTCATGATCATTTTACATCAGAAGTTAAGAAGTGGTGCAGGAAGTCGTGTTCTCATGCCTTCTTCATTATTGTTGATGTAGAATAGTTGTATATGGCCTGGTCCTAATATTCATAAATAAATGGATTCAGTGTGACCTGTTAATCAGTTTGAATTTACCGGGTATTGGAACCTAAGTCATCCCATCAACTGACAGTCTGCTAAACTAGTATCTGACTGGAAACAGTGATTTGAGTAATTGTATTTATTTCATAAATCATAAGCGTGTACAGTTATGCTGTTTTACTATTATTCTTAATATATATTTTTATGATGCAGGTCTGTTATTGAAGTCCGTAATGGTCTTACATTTCTTGATTTAATCGTCATTCAGATTGAGGTACTGCATGCTTTAAAATATCTCCTTTATGGTTTACCCAACGGTCTCTGTAACATTAATATACGTTTATCTGCAGACACTAAATGCCAAGTACGGGTGCAATGTGCCGCTGCTTTTGATGAACTCATTTAACACTCATGATGATACATTGAAGGTGAATTTCTGTAGACTAGACTGAATTTCAACATCTAAAATATTCAGCTAATTTTTCCTTTCCTGGTTGCAAATTGCAGATTGTTGAAAAGTATGCCAAGTCAAATATTGACATTCACACATTTAACCAGGTTTGAGTAGCTCTGTAGTTGTGCATGAGTGTGTGTGCATGAAAATTATAAAATTAGCACTTCCATAATCCAGTCAAAACATTTGACATCATTAATCTGTAATTTGTTGCACTTTCCAGAGCCAATACCCTCGTCTAGTTGTTGATGATTTCAAGCCACTTCCATCCAAAGGAAACACTAGCAAAGATGGATGGTATTGTGTGATATTCAGCTATTCCTTCGTGGAGTGTTTTCGTGAATTTTTTTTCTGTAAATGTCATCTATTATTTTGTGAAGGCTGCTGTCTTTTTTCTATTTCCTATCTTAAATCAGCATTTTGTACATTTTCTTTTAAAAAAAATATATTAGTAGTATTATTAGTCTCATATAACTGTATGACTATTTTGTGTACAAATCTAGCCCTTCCTATTGTTTTTGTAACTTTTATGATTTGCATGCAGAACTTAATTACTGTGAATTACTATATCAATTTTCTGTTTTGCTGATTGGATTTTGCTACTTCAGGTACCCTCCTGGTCATGGAGATGTCTTTTTTTCTTTGAAAAATAGTGGAAAGCTTGATGCACTGTTATCACAGGTCTAGCTCTCTAAATAATTGTTGTGGTGGGGGTACAACTCCTCTACATATTTACTCTGGGATACAATATCAATCAAGCATTACTAAATGAGGTTTGTTATCAATTCTTATTGTGTTTTCTTCTTTCAGGGCAAAGAATATGTCTTTGTGGCCAACTCAGATAACTTGGGTGCTGTTGTTGATTTGAGTATCCTTCCCAACAAGCAATTGGTTTTTCGTTTTATCTTATATATTTGATACTTGTCACCTAGTTCAAGTATGTGACAAACTGTGTTCTTTTATATTTTTAACTTTTACATTTGTGATCCTTAATTAAGTATCGCAGAAATTTTAAATCATTTGATCAGAAACAAGAATGAGTATTGCATGGAGGTAAGAGATAGATCATCTGATTTTGGTTTTCTTTGAAACAAACTGTTGTTACTGTAGAGCATGTGTCTTTGCAGGTCACCCCTAAAACACTTGCCGATGTTAAAGGTGGTACTTTAATCTCTTATGAAGGGAAAGTACAGGTATTTTGCTAAAAACTGGTTCACTGTTCTGTACTTTTAATTATGGATGCTATTATTGGGGCTGGTTGAATTTTGCTCAAGCCACCTTCAGAATATGGTAGATTCCACTAATTTATCATCCAAGCCTTCCTACATGGGCATATGCCCGGCACTGAGAACTAGGTATCCTATTAATTGTTTAATCTAAAAGTACTCTGGTATTTTGACTGACATGTTTTTATTCTCAACCCAGATGTGTCCTGGTGTAAATTAGTTAGATACATGTCAGTATTGGCATTTATTTCTTGTTTGATTTGGCTCTTCAACAATGATGCTGGTTCATTTGTCTGAATATCTGAATTTGATGTTTTACTCATCTGTCTATCAGAAGATAACCTTACAACATTGATTCGATCTATTAGTAAAGAATGTTGTCTTGTCCTTAAAACTTGGAGTAAAAAATT